AGCCAGCAGCTCCTGAACCCTGAGATACACAAAAACCAAAACCATCAATCATGGGTGAAATAATCAAGTTTTTTTTTTTTTACTTCCCGTAACATTGGTTTTCTTAAAGGGGCAATATTATGGGTTTCTCAGGAATATATTTAAATTCTATACCATAATTTGTCACCTTCAGTTATTAAAAAACTGTTTATATGTTTAAATAGAAAATAAACATGACTTATCATATCTGTTTCCACCTTGAAATTGGCCTCTGTCTATTTAAGAACCTCCCACCCATTTCAGCACAGGGCTGAGTGTGTGTGTTCTGTGATGAGGAAGCTAGTTTGGAGACACAGTCCAGAGGAGGAGCTGATCCCAAAAGGTGGTTCTAGTCCCAACCCCTGCCTGCTGCCTCAGGACACCACAGATTTCTCAAACATGCATGAATGAATCAAAGCAAGACTCTGGGCATGTTTTTGATGAGAGGATAACATTATAACATGATCTAAAACTCAAAAAAGTTGATTTTACATGATATTGCCCCTTTAATATTTAGACATGGCTCAATTAAACATGCCTGCACAACTAAAACATGTTTGATTTTCTGCCAATTAAAGACTAAATGTTAGCTAAATGTTCAAATTTAATAGATTTATTGTTTAAATTAAAGGMTTACATTGCTCGAAGGAACCCATATAATTGTCATCTTTCATTGTAAAATCAATAATAGATATGGTCAAATCATGAAAATAACATTACTTATGACTTCAAGTATTTTTTAATTCATTTGAATTGATATCACAAAATCTTCTGCTATCCTTTAGTTGGTACTTTGATAAGTTTTTTGTACAGCTGTTTTTCCTCTTAATTTGGAAGTTGCCGTGCACTGATTCAAAAATAGTTCAGTTTTTTTAAAAATAGGACCACCCATTCAGTATTTGGGTCATTAAAAGTTGAAAATTAGAAAGAAAGTCCTGCATTATGTGCAGAACACCATAAAAAAGGCAGGAAACAAAGTAGATTAAACATTCAGATAGATTTCAAAATGATATGGTTGTCTAGACATTATAAATGAGTGACTGAAACTCACCTGGTAACACTGACAAACTGCTCGGGTAGGAAAATGCATTTATTAAAGTGCCTAACTTTTGCATTCTTAACATGTGTTATAAATAACTTTCAGTTACTACCACGCTGAATTTCATCTCAATACCTACAAAACTGAATAAGTTTCAGCCATTTTTGTGTTTCATAAGGATTAGCTATGGCGGCCATCTTAAATCTAATTGACTACAAAAGTTATTCAGTTGTAGATGTACATCCAGTGATTACTTTCATTACAATTTAACCACTGGTGCAAGAGATATTTTGCTAAAAGACATGATCACCTGCTGTTCATCCTTTAAAGTCCCAGGATTAAACAAGATCCAATTTGTTTTGTTAGAACTAGAAAATTAAATTCATTCAATTTTACTTGAAGATGTACACAGACCTGTTGCTGTTGATTGTTCCACGTTTGACACCGCCCCCATGTGGCAGCAGACCCTTACCACAGGTAACCCAGATTAACCCTGAATCAAACCCAACCGCCTCAGTACCTCAGCTCACAYGCTCACCTGGTCCGATCTAACTGCCCCCTGATCAGCAGGACCCCTGCTGCGTCAGCGTCCAGAGCCTTCACCCTGAACTCCAGCTCTGTGCCGATCCTCGGCCCAGCATCCCTCCAGGTTTCCACGGAGACCAGGTTTGGTCTGGGGATGCTGGCGTTGAAGCAGCCGTGCACGAGGCAGCCGACATGGCTCAGCCCGAGTTTATTTACTTTGCCCTGTGGAAATAAATCAAGCACGCCGTGTTTTGTTTATATATTGGCAGRTTATGAAATGAGATCCAACTTTATTGTTTAAACGTCAATACAGCTTGATGAAACTGCAAGTTGAATAACAGATGATAAATTATGTAAGTCTTACTAGGAGTTTTTGTCCAGCTTTGGGCTGAAACACAATAAAATTGGCTTCTATGTCCATGTGGATGTAGCCGCTGTCATCGTAAATGTGTCCATGTTGGCCAACAACCCTGATGCTGTCGTAGGCTAAAGGCACTCCGTTTAGACTGGAAGACAAATACAGGAGGTTTAGCACACTGACAGTAAAGATCAAACTCTATATTAAACTGAACATTAGCAGCTTTCTGTGTCACATCACCTCCGGTTTAGAACAGATGAAGAAAATACTAAACATCCTACAAACGTCTGTTAACAACAGATTCCCACTGCCACCTTTAACTTGAGTAAATTGCCAATTAGCAGACATATAGAGATTAATTTAACTGCTCCAACCATAAGCTTATTGAATGTGTGTTTACCTCTGGGAGAACTTCAGCAGCTCTCCGTTCAGCTCTTCCTGCAGTCCCGTCCTCTTCTTGTTCAGATACTGCGGCGCCAGGGCGACGTGCCTCCGGTGCGKGTTCAGGACCAGACACGAGTAGGGCGCCGACAGCAGCTCCGAGGCGGCCGCGAACGACGGGATGACGCAGGGGACGGCGGCCGCAGCTCCAACCTCTGCCCGAGACGCTTGGTCCGGCTCTGGGGCGCTGGCGGCGGGCATTTCTCCGGGCATGCTCGAACGTCTCTGGTCGTCTTCAGCATGCTCGAAATTCGCCATGCTTGTCGGAAAACCGGAAGACAAACAAGTCACAACTTCCGCTGAGAAGAATTGGCAAACAGCTGTTATTGGTTAGCAGCGTGTTCATGTGTAAACACTGCCACCTGTCGGCGAGGTGGTGATATTACATCTAGGGAAGTAATGAGAACATATTTTAGTCTTGTAGTAGTTTTTCTTATTTTTTTATAGTGAGCACACATTATAAACAAACATCTATCTACCTATCTATCTATCTATCTATCTATCTATCTATCTATCT